AGCTGTTACAATCCAGTAAAGACACATCAAGTTCAACTACGCTCTTTTCTTTTGAACATAGATTTGTTGGCTGTGGGAGAAGCTGGGGAAAAGCACCAGGAAGCAATAGATGGGGCTGCTCGGCTCTCGGTATCGAAGGAGAGTTGGCAGGACCAGGAGGCAGCCAGCAACTGAAACTGGTGAAGAAGTAGCAGTAGGCACAGCAGAAGAAAATAATCGTTAGAAAGTAACGAAGAGACAAAAACAAAAGGACAGAGCAGGACGGACCAGTAACCACCGCAGATCCACCAAGACCTCTGAGGACATGCAGCCATCATATTAGCCCTGGAACAGGCAGGCAAAGCAGCTAATGCCTCCTTCTCCTTACCGCTCAGCCCTGCTGAGGCTGCTGCCACCTGAACTAGCAATCCTCTCCACCACCTGTCAACCCCCATGATGTTAATTTTCTGTTGAAATCTACCATAGATTTAGTCATTGAGTGTTTTTATGTCAAAAAAATCAGGATTTATTTCCCTGGCTTACGAATGCTGATCAGTATTGAGGCTGGCTGAATTTCAAATTTCAATACGTTGACTTAATGTCAATACAAAAAAGTAGGCATTTCATAGAATCACAGAAGAGTTTAGTTTGGAAAGGACCTCTGCAAGTCAGCTGACCCAAACTCTGCTTAAAGCAGGGCCAGCTCCACAGTTGGATCATGTTGCTCAGGCACCATCCAGCTGAGCTTTGAGTCTCCCCAAGGTAGGAGGCTCCCCAACCTCTCTGGGCAACCTGTTCCAGTGCTTAAGCACTCTCACAGTGGTATGTCCATGGCAGTTTCCCCACCAGTTGATTAGAATGAGACTTTTTTTGACAAAACTGAAATTCTGACAGCGTATGACACTATACTGGAAAGGCTTAAAAGGACTTTCTTTCAAAAAGAAAATTTCTCACTTTTTTCAAAACCAGGCCATGATACCTTCTGATCATAACAACTTCTTTTTTTACCTCATTACCTATGCAGCACAACAGCTGCAAGGTCATGGCATCTATTTTTGAAATCACAATACAGTGTTATAGAAAAGGTCAATGCAAAAGATAACATCAAAAAAGCAAAGGAAGAGTAAAGAAGGCAAGGTAGGGTTTTCAGAGGCACCTAGGGCATTGCAAGTTCAAAGGGATCTCAGTACCATCATTAGGCATATTATTACTGCTGACCCCACTACAGTCCCTATTTATGAGCAGATAAAAACCGATCTGTTCCTCAAAGAGTTTCAAAGTGAAGGCAGCACCTACTTAGAGAAATGTAGAAAGACCACTATTTTGTTTCCATCACGCATAATAAATGTAGCAAAGGGAAATAACAAGCACAAGCTTATTACTCACAATTGCTGATACTGGTATGTTTAACTTGTCAACCAGTGATACTACGAAGGCACCTGAACAATGCCATTATCAATGGTCATTGCAAAGCCAACGGCAAATTGACCACTGCAGAGCACAGGAGCAGGAGCTGGCATTTAGCATCATACAGTAATCCTGTCTATATTGGATGCTTCTAAATTGGGCCAACACGAGCACAGAGCAGCAAAAAGAAGGGGTGCTTTCCAGCACCTTCCAGTCATCAGCTGATGTATGTTGCAGCCACCCCACCCCACCCGCCAAATGCCAAACATGACCCTTGGTCTGTGACGAGGATCAAATAAAATGGAGGAAAGGTGAAATACGCTGTCTCCTTCCTTTAGTGTGAGCAGCTCTCACTTGAAGGCGTTTCATGATCACGCTTCCCCGTCCCCCACCCCCCAGTGATTTCTAAATATTAAAATGGCAGAGGTACCAAACTGACATGGAACATGGAAGAACGCAAGTTTTAAAAACTGAGTGTGTCTGAAAGGCACATTTTAAATGCCTCACCATAGTCTTTTCCTGAGTTTTGCACACTAGTTAACCTAACAAGATGTACTTACCCTACAGAAGGAAGGACAATTACTTTAGATGCCCTGGAACAACGACTTTCTGCTGCTCTGTACAATTAAACGGCTTTTGCTATCAGCAACCTGCAACTTTTTAAGGGAAAATGCACAGAAACTATACAATCTGTTTGCAAGAGGTTCTGCTAATGCCCTGCGACCACGATCTGCTCCCTTCCAACTACGCTGCAAATTCCCAGTTTGCTTCTGAGTGGGGAAGATGCGCTCCATCCAAATTACACATGGTTTCCAAGCTTGAGATGGTAAATGCACACACCCCTACACTATGACCATGATAATTCATTTTTCCCCTTTTCAAAAACAGCATGTCATGAAGGGATCTGAAAAATTGTCTCTGGTCTCTCCAGGTGTCACAATATTTCTGATCTGGGGGTAAAATGGATACAGAGAGGAAAGACTCTGTCTCTGGCACTATGTCTGATTTGTGTGACTCCTTCACACATTACTCCTCTGCTGGCAAACAACACTCTGCGTGATGGGAGTCCAAAAGAAAAACTGCTCTTCTGAAGCCAAAAACTTACAGGGGAACAGAATTACCACTGTCAAAACCATCTCTTGCCCAGTCTAATGCGTGTCATACAGGGCACGCTGCACTCCAGGAGCTGCCAGCTCCGCTGGGGCTTGCAGGGAGCTGCTGACTTCCCCTGCTACAAAGGGTTTCACTCTCTCTGCCTGCCTTAATGATTACTGTAAATTCTTGCAAAATCAGCACCTCAGCCTACCAAACTGAGACACCGTGACACTAGCTCCAACAGGGTCTCTCACGTTCCTTGCAGTTGAAGGTACCAGTAAAATGATAAAACAGCAATGTAAGAATCCTTCGAGTACCTGGTCCTGAAACAACCTGACACCTAAAACAAGAACTTCATGTCACATCACACCTGGCAGTTTCTTATCTAACAGAAGATCTTTATATGCTAAAAAAAGAAAGCATCAGAATACTTAAGCAGTATTCCTCACTGAAAAATCCGACTTTTCAGGGTGAAGCCTGTACTCCGACATCTGATGAAGCCACCCTACAGGTCTGGCTGAACACAGAGCACCTTCTGCAGCTTCAGAGCCCGCATGCCATCACTGGTGGCGTTAAATCCATACCCACAAGTACTTACACTGCTTTCAACAGACGAACCTACCAAAATTAGTTGGGACAGAACTTTATGCAGTGCAGCCGCTTTTGAGCTAAGCATGAATTTCTGTTGGTACTTAGGTGCCTAAAAACAAAATTATGAACCCAATTTCCTATTCATTCCCAGATTCTTCCATTTCTGGTAAACAAAGCTGACCCTGCCTTGATTCTTGGCTGGAATCACTTCTTCTCTCTGAAGATGAAGCTCTGTATTTTAAATGTTGTCACCCACACACAGTTATTTAGTAAAATGCTTGAGAAACAATGTATTTGAGTTGCTCACAAAGAAAAAACCGCTGTAAGAAAGATGACTGCAAACCATTTACAATTGCTTTGACCAAAATTTTTCAAACAATTCAAATTACTTTAAAATTAGGCATTTTCATGTTTTCAAGTCTTTATACAAGCATGTGAATTGCCTTAAGCTTGTTTAATTAATGTTTTTCATTAAGACCATAATTTAATTCAATTAGTAAGAAATTATTAAAGTGGGATTAATAAATTAAATACCTCCACTGATATTTTAAAACCATTAAGATAAAAGTTTATGCAAATTTTGTTGACAGTAAGACAATTTCATTTTTTTGCCTTTCTGTATAAGCAAGGTTTTTCTTGTTCTCCTGAGTTACACACAATCTCTATACATTACTGAATATACTACTTTAATCTTTAGCCAGCTTTTTCCATGTCTATAGACAAAGCATGCAGTAATCCAAATACGAAAGGAGTAATTGCATCGATTCAAAGGCGACACTAACACGATTGCAATAAAGAAAACAAAAAAGCTAATAAAAAGCTATTTATTGTTTTATCAACCAGTTCTTCTAAAAGCTTCCCGAAGAAATTCCTCCACATTGGTCTGAAACTGCCTGTCTGCAATGGATGCAACAAATCCATCTGACAAGGCTTTAAATGGCCTGCAAAACAGAGTGATGTCATTTGACAGACACACGTATGTGCTGTCCTTTTATTAGTTAATGCAAGGCATTGTCCACTTCAGAAGCATCTTTTTAACTGGGAAGTATATTCACCTGTATTATTGACATCAGCACAGATGATTTAAAATGAATGAAATTTCCTTTTCCTTTCCTTCATGTTTGTTTGCTTTTTTCTTTTTTCTGTCTATACAGCGGAAGTCAATTACATCAGTTTCATTTTTATACATATTCAATTGCTATATCTGTCAGGCATAAGCTCTGCATAGGAAAAAGCATTTTGCCTAGTCTTCACTTCAGTGCCTTTAAGTCCCGGTTGTGCTTAGCCACGGTTTTACTGAATCTGCAGACAAATACTCGTTTTTGGTTTTGGGGGTTTTTTTTGTTTGTTTTACAAGGGTTAAACGCAGTCAGTAAGGTGTAGTAGAGTAGAAGGACTGCATCAGTCTTTCGTAGTTCGTCACACCTGGCCACACAGAACAGATGTACCACCACATCAAGTCATGTAAGGTGGGCAGCTCTCTGCTGCTGGGGTCAATGACATTACCTATATACTTGGCTCCTATACAATGCTGAAAACTCTCCAATTTTGAAGAAGATACACAACCAGCCAACATGCAGTTGCCAGGACTGTGGCAGAAGCACACGTTTTGAGAGAAAGGAGAAAAGCTCCTCATAAATCTCTGCTTGCAGGTATACACCCTACTGAATTCAATTACAGCGCCAGTCTATACCAAACTAATTTTGATTTTCAAGTAAAAATTAATAATCAATTAAATAATTAAAATATGAAAGACTGATCTTGGGTTCTCCCCTTTTGCTAACTGTACCAACAGTGCAACTGTTCCTGGAGAAGGGACTCTCCACAACCCTGCCGCTGCAGGCAGGGGAAGAGGTGCAACAGCAGGCACACGTAAGCAACGTTAGCCCTTGCCCCAAGCGGTAAGCATCGCTCTCCCAGCACTTTACCTGATGGTGTGCTAGCTGCTGTCATGGCTGTACTCGTTGAGTGCGTAGGGCTGCTGTTTTCCAACAAGAGGCAAGAGCTGCCACCACTGTTCTTCTTAACAAACGTCTCAGGGGCACTGGGCAGGGGCACCGGGTGACTGATTCCCAGTTCCTCTTCCTGAGCTTGCTGCCTTCTCAGTGCAACCTGGGAACAAGAAGACAGACATAGGGCATGCTCTCTGGCTTGAGCACAATTTATAATGGCAACAATGAAAGACTCAAACTCAAGGCTGTTTTTTCCTCTTGGTACTCCTACGGTGTTGACGTCACAATCCAGTGGGTAGAGGAGGATATAAAGGAGGTTATAAACCTATTTAAAACCAACCCCTTTTTGTGTCCAAACATATATGAACAAACCTATGAAATGCTGGTGCTATATACATCTCCCTCCACATGAAGGCCACATGAAGACATTAAAGCTGACTATTCACACCACACAGTCACCCTTGGGCAAAGCATACTGTGAAAAGCAGAGTCACTACCCTCCTCCCTGCTTGATGCACAGCTGCTGGGGATAAGAAATTCATCTGCTTGCAAGGCTCTGCTGTGTCTCTTCATCAATATAAAGCAGCTCTTATCTGCTGCTTTGTCCAAGCTTGCTGGGCTCCCTTGCTGGCTCTTTGCTGGAAAACCCTCCAAGGGAACTTTAGTGCACAGTACACTGTACACAGAGAGCTATCATGGCAGAAGCATGGCAAATGTAGGGAACCATCCTGCAAGCATCTCAGCCAGTGTCACACACAGCAGACAGCTCGCCAGGCCTGCAGCAGCAGGAGCTCCTAATTTCTTTCTAGCACTGATGTTATACCATAGCTTAGCTGGCACTGGCAAAGCCCACAGGCACTATGCAGTCTGGACATGGGTGCAAACAAACCACATTCCCTGCTTACTGAAGATACAGAGGACCTTTTCTGCTTCATCTGAACTGGCAGATCAATTCTGCAGATCAATTTTGCACAGCCATCCTCCCGTGCCAAGTATGACATGTTGTCCAGGCAGTAAACATGACACTGGGAGCTTTACAGCTACCTACCCTGCAACTTGCCAGGTGACTTGCATCTGTATTTGAACCTTGGAAATCTGTCCCAGATTGCAGAGTGGGATCATGGGCTTTTCCTGCTGGAAATTCTCCTGGGTAACTTGGACAGGATTTCCCTCCATTTCCATGTTCAACAGCAACATTTTTCTAATACAGATGCGTAGTACCGTTAGAGAAAATAATAATAGCTCTTGCAATAGAGACATCCCAAACAGGGGGTGTAGACTTGCAAACACCACGGGTAACTTCGACTTCACAAGCCAATAACCTTGACCTGCAAAATTCCACCAGCACCAAGGGGCTTATTGCAAAAAAGGGGGAAAAACAGACTTTCAATGTGTAACTCCTCCACAGATAAGGTTCAGTTACGGATGCTTTCAAAGCCACTTTCACATACTAGTCAGGGAAGAGAAAGCCCTGAGGAGGGCCACCGCCCGGACCCGCTAGCAGAAGGCATTCACCACCTGACAGAAGCTGCTGAGCAGCAGGAGAACAGTCTGTGCAGAAGGGGACACTTGTGCAGGCAACACCCCATTCTGTGCTCCCTCCCCCGAGGCAGGCAGCAAAGGGATCCACGTTTATTATTCCATGGTTCACACCGGGCAGAGAAACCGCATGTAACTTGGGCATAATAACAATTTCTGGACTGCCGTGCCACCGACAAGGAGGAATTATTTAGAGGACGTTTAATATACCTGCACTGAATAATTAAATAAAAAAGTAGGGAAGGATTTAATCCAGGGCTGCTAAGGTTTTTAAAATCTGTCAGTGGGACATTTCATTTCATGCGGGATCACAAAGCTCTACAATTAACTGCAAATTGGGTCGGTGGGTCTGCTATCACTGCCTTTACTTGCACCAGTAGTCCTAACGCCTTCCAATTAATGTGTGTGCAAGGGACTATTTGCACGAACGAGAACGTGGAACCCCGCTCACAGAGCTCAAGCATGCTAGTAGCCATTACACTCCCAGGACTCCTCTTAATGAAGTTTTAAAGATAAGGATCACAAGGACTGATACAGCGGTCATTTACATTGCCAAAGAGTTGTGACTTCAGCGGGACTACCTAACGGAAAAAGTTATTGCTACACAGAACTGGATGCAGTTTGGTTTCTTGGCGAAATACTACGGAGTCCTCGTTTAGATTTAAGATGACCCAGCTACACAGCTATTTACAGAGCTGCCCTATGCAAAATCAGGAACAACGCCGTTAAAAAAAGTCTTTTTAGAAATGCACTCAACTAAAGCCACCTAGCATCAGGAAAAGCAGATACACCGAATCTGAAACCACCAGTGGAAAATATTCTCGCTAACCAATTAGTTGGCTAGATTATTCATTATCTAGTTAAAAACAAGTTGAAAAACTGCAATTTGACGTTAACTAGAAGGCTTCCTCTCTGAAGGTTTTAAAACAGATCCGCGCACTTCAGGACTGCCAGCACGCTTCGGCTCTGCCCGTTTCCAGACGGAGATGCATTCAGGCGTGCTCAGAGGTGAGCCGCCAAACGCTCACCGCTACCGCTTGCCACTGCTGCTGCTAGCTCACCGCGACTTAAATCCTACACGCCTTCAGGGCATCTCCTATTTTTATGCCAAAAAAAAAAAAAAAGGAAGACAGCGAAAAGCCTCATTAATTTAGGAAGACGGCGGTCTACCTCCAGCCCGGGG